GGGGGCGGCTGCTCAGAGCCCCGCTTCACGGGCGTGGTTCGACCTCGACGCATTGGGGGCTGTTTTACATTGTGTTCCACCTTTCACGCACACTCGCTTTCTTTTTGTTGTTTTGGGGTTTTTTTTGCTTTGTTTTTTAATTAGCTCCTGAAATCGCCGATCATGCTGGTGAGCAAGAAGGTGAAGCGCCTCTTGCAGCTGGTGCCTGGGAAGCAGCGCTTCGGCGTTTACAGGTTCCTGCCCTTCTTCTTCCTCCTCGGGGGAGCGATGGAGTGGTTCATGATTAACGTCCGTATTGGCAAGGAGACGTTTTGTAAGTGAGGGCCACAGCGCAAGCGGCTCGTCCCCGTCGGGGTCAGCACACGTAGGTCTATAGAAGGTCCGCTCGCTGCCGATACAGCGCTGACAACATCCTGCCCTCCCCAGTGCGCGCAGCTCGTTTCTTAGCTGAAGGCTCTGGCAGTCCTGGGTCAGCCCCCTGCTCTGATCCGGTGTTGTGTTCCACAGCGCCTCTAGAGGTCAATATAATGGGGGGTGGGGGGGTGGGGGGGGGGTGAGATGAGGCTCTGCTGTGGTGTCCTGACCTGGAGGACTTTAAAGGTATTCAGAAAGTCAGCCAATTCTCCCATTAGTGCATGGTTTGATACTGCAGATTCTGCCTCTCCAGCAATAGTAGAAGACACTGGGTACCTGCCCCCCCATGTTGGGTTTAGAATACTAAACTAGAATTTTTAACCTTGAAAAAGACTCTTCTGGGTTGTCAGAATTTAGGTGTGGGTTTGGTTTTTTTTTTTTTGTATAATTGAAAACGAAGTATGAAAATGAGTCATGAGAACTTTTTTCAGCTAATGGCAGTTAGTTTCTAGAAGTTAGGACATGTAGTTTTTATGTGGCGCTCTTTTCCCTTTAAGAAGTCTTATCATAATTTCTTTGTAATTTCAGAAAAAGGGACTGTAACGTTTCAGCTCTACTGTATGTTATGTGAGAATACTCTCACTTTCATGGGAAATCTATTTGTGATTCTCCTGTAGAATAAAGCAGCTTGATACAGCTGATGCTCCCTGCAAACAAAATCACTCTGCTTCTCATGCTCGCTTTTGAAGGCTTTGGTTTGCTGTGTTTTTTTTTTTTTTCCACCTTAATATATCTGTGGCATACATGCATAGTAATAAAGTCAGGTTAGAAACTAAAGCATGTCAGCTGTGTAGCAGCCTTTACGTTTCAACACGAGCCTTATTTTCTTGCAAAAAATGCTATGCCTAAGTGATGTGAAGTAATACTGTAATACAGTCATAGTAATTGTGCAGTTTAACCTTATTATTGCTCAACAAGCCATGTGAATGGTAACTTTTAGAGAGGGTAGGGTAGGCAGTGAGAGATTTTTATCTGGCCAAGAATAAGCTATGGCTTACTACTGGAGCAAAATGTCATAGGTCTAAGTCTTCTACACCTTTTGGATTATAATCTGCTCCTTCAGCTCACAAGCACTGTAGCCACAGTATTTTTCTACTGTGTAGGCCACTGCCATTCCCTGAAGGAGAGAGAAAAGGACTTTTATAGAAGTGGGAGGATTCTACCTTTATACAGCTATGTTTGACCTTGCTGATACCACTGTATCATAGCTGAGATACAGCTCTGTAGCTGTGGTCACCATCTCTGTTCCTTGCTGGTATGGTCAGGGCCTTCCAGAACAGTGCTTCAGAGTCTGGTATCTCTTCAGAATAACAGTTGTTTTGGACTTCTAACAACTACAAGTAGAAATCACTGGATTACTTGTATTTCCATCACTTCTGAGGTTGGACATTTGAGAGGGGGGGATAAGGGTGGGAGAAGGCCGGCAGAGGATGGTTAGGAAGACTGAAAGTGGATATATTCCTTTGCTTTTAAGAAAAGCTAGAATACTGAAGCCATGCTAGCAGACCACAGGCATTGGACTTTGTGTCTATAATTTAATTTGCCTTTGGCTTCAGCGAGTTTGGCAATTGTCTACTTTCCCATGAGAATAATTAAAAAGTAAAAAAAATTACTCTATCTTACTGGAAACTTAGTTTTCTTGTAAGATCATTTCATCAAAACTGAGGGGAAGAACTTTAGCCTAGATGGGAGGGAAAATGAGCTATTTTTAAGAGGTAAAAATAATTCATGTTTGCTTTAATACTCAGTTGCCTGTTAGTGTCTGCAAGAGGAAATTGAATTGACAGATTTAAAAAGAGATAATAGGCTTTATACATTTAATACCATCATGCTCTTGGAAATTGCTAATATAATATCTTTTTCTGGCAGATGACGTTTACCGTAGGAAACGGTCTGAAAGACAGTATGAGGCGAGGATGGAAAAAAATGAATTTTAGCTGAAACATTTCAAGGTGGATGTCCTGAATTCTGCGATCATATTAATATCAAAGAAACATTACTGCCATGGGAATGGTAGGTGCAAGATTTTATCTCTGCAAGATGAATTGTGATCCACAAGTTTGTGATACAAGTTTACAGAGATGATTTTGGCAGTATATTCCTCCACCATCCACTTAGTTTAAAATTTTCTTTTTTTCAAATGCATTTAGGCTTCTGCCACCTATTTAATGTTTATTTAGTTCTTTTAAATAAACTAGACTGAGCAAACAGAGTCCTACTACCACTTTTCTCTGCTTGATCAGACACCATTCTTGCAACAAGACCTGTGGGAGAGAAATAAGTTACATATTGCATACATAATATCTTGGCACAAAGGAAACATTCGTATTTAATTAGTTTGCTTTGTATTGATGGAAACTACTCTCATATTGGAAAGAAGACAAATCCAATATAGCGTTATAGTAACTGGACAAAAGAGCACAGGGTTCATAGATCAGTGTTTACTCCACCCGTATTGTGTTTGGAAAGTCATCTGTCTACAAGTACACTAATACCCATTGTTGCTGCTCTAACAATTATGTGATATGAGGGCTTAGGGGAAAAAATTCTTTGATACATGTACCTTTTAGCAGACACAAGTTTGGAGGAATGTGCAGCAGCACTCATAGCAGCCCTGAATTTTGTTTGCAGGATCGCTGTCTCCCCAGAGAAGGAAAGTCCTGGGCAGTTTTTTGTTTTAAGCCTGCCTAACAGAGTAACGCTAGATCTCAAGTATGTGGGAGCATCTCAATAACTAGCAGAAATTTGACTCTGGTACACTATTAATCAGTGAGGACTGTATATTAATGCAGTTGCTCTTATTTCCAATAGTATGTGTAATATGTTCATGGTTCGTATCAGGAGAGAAAGAAAAGCTGAGGAAGCTTATCTACCTATATACTTTGTTTTGCTAACTTCTAACAGCCTTTTTTCCACAGAAGTACGTTTTCACCAGCTAAAGAGACAACTGCTATACTAAAGATCTTCTGATGCAGGTATTCAGCTTAAAAATGGAGGGTAACCACTGTGCTTTTTTGTGTTGTGTCTTTAAAAGACATGATTTGGAGGGCTAGAGCTACTCATCCTTTCAGGAAATTTAAAAAAAAAAAAAAAAAAAAAAAAAAAAAAAAAAACAAAAAAACCTGACAGAGAAGTAAAGATGTGACTACAGCCCTGCATAATTTAAATAGACATCAAACAAACAATTTATTTCTAAAATGGAAGTTTTCTCTAATAAGAACCTAGATTTTGACTTTGGTTCTGAGGCAGAGTCCAAGTTCAAGTACATATGCACAAGCTTCTTTTTACAGTCATGGATTGTTCCACTGGAGTAAATGTGACAGTAGCAATACAGGCCATAAAACACATTAGTAGAAAGCCACAGTTAGCATTTTGAAAACTATTGGGCTCTATCTGCTTTTACTTTTCAGACCTTCTAGAGCTCTCTCCTGCTTGCAAACTGTGCTTGGTTTCCATGGAACTTTATTTATTTATATGAAGAAGAAGCCCTGTTCCCCAGTTACCTCTCAGTACTCAGGAGCCCGATGTGAAAGAACACCATTAGTTTCTTCCTATAGCGTTCCTATAGTAGTATAATTGTTTCACAGATATCAGTAAATTGGGTCCAGTTTTTCACTTCAAAGCTCTTGCAGTGCTGTTTCTGATTTACAGCTGAAAGAGCCTGGCCTACCTAGAAGTTAATTAAGTGTCTCCAGTTAGGCAGACAAAAGTGGAAAACAAGGATTATTGGTCATTCGCAAGAAGTTTGGTGCAAGGGAGTTGTGTATCACTGACTCCTGTGACCACTGGCAGGGGTAAAGTCCATTTCGGCAAGTTGGCATTGCCATTTCAGCCATGAGGCAATAACAGATCTTTGATGGCAGAAGATGAAGACTGACATTTAGAAATCTTGAACTGTGTTTTTGACTCCACAATGTGTTTTCAAGTGCTGATCCTTCTACCCCCTTCAGTTTTGTGCCTCTCTCAATAGCACTGGAAGTTGGGTGAGTAGTTGGAAAATTGCAGTGCCCAGCCAATTCCAGTACCAAACACACTTGGGGATTTAATATCAATTTTAATCTCAATCCAATCCTCAAAAAACAAGATCTTCATTAGATTTCTGAGATAGTTTCCTCCCTGCTGACTCCTAGTTCTGTGCTGTTTGCCTTCCCCTGCGCCCTTCCCCCCCCCAGTAACTCTCCCATCTTCTCTCTGGGTCAGATGGCCCCATTTCCCTCCCCCCTCCAGATTTCTCTCCTTCCCCAATCTGTCTACTGTTATGATGGGCAGTGGAGAAGAAGTGAGAGCACTCCTTCATATTGGTGGAGATCTGACAAGCATTGGGAACAGATTGTTATTATGCAGTGCAAAAGCAAGCTAGGAACATAACTTTCAAGCTTTCGTATTAAGCACTGCTGAGTGCCTTACAGTTCTAGGGTTGAGTACACCAGCTGCTGTAGGTGTGTGTCCCCTCCCAAAGAAAGCCAGACGTGGAGAGGCTTGGTCAGCTGGGACCTCCCTAAGCTCTGGCCCCAGCTCTGGGATGGCTCTCTGTCCATGTTACTGTTGTCAGACCAAAGCAGGTGTGTGTCCCTGCATGCACTGCACTGCACTGCACAGCATAGCTGATGCTCCACAGCCCAGCAAGAGTTAACACTAGTGGAGTGGCTGCAGAGCCTGCCTTTATAGCTGGTGAAGAAGGAGCTTGTTACAATACAAGCAACACTGTCTAGCTTTTTCAGTACAGAGATATTTCTTAAACCGTTCTAATAGCAGTTTTGCCCACAGCATCGTTTGTCTTAGCTTTTTTTTTTTTTCCTAAGCTTCCAGGACTTGGGCTTTATTTTGTTTCAGAGCTCTTTTTCGTAGGGTTGCTTTCCTACCTGGGCCATGCCTCATTTTTCAATTCGTGAGGTCTCAGCAGATTAAAAGTAGATAAAGGCAAAGGTCCACATGAAGTGCCAGCAAAGTTTCTACTTTTAAAAACAAGCTACAGATCTTATAGAGGCCTTTTTTTGAGAAAAGCTTCAAGAACATGCCTGTAAGCCTGTACTTAAATCTCCTTACTCTAGACGTATGCTTGAACGTTTTCCAGAGGTTGGAATACTCTCTTAAATCTTGACTAGAGACCAAACAAGCACAACCACAAAACCTAACTAAAAGCCTAACTAAATTCCCCTGACTTAAGTGGGTTCTGGACCGTGCTGTATACTGTTCCCATCCTCTGGGACCTAGTCTGGCCCTTGTCAGCAAAAATAGGATTTTTGTTCTCAGCTTGAGTGATAGTGAATGTGGAGCTGTCAACATCCTGCATCAGCTAGATCTGTTTTTCTCCCTTTAGATCTATCATGACAATAATTTCCACAAACAGCAATTGTAAAAGGCCAAATTTAGTCTGAAAACTGTATTTCATAGTGAAAGTGTGAACTCATCTTCATTTATATTGTACTTTTCCTTTTATGATTAAACACCATTACTGCCCTCTAAGATTCCCTCCCTTTTAAACAAAAAAAAAAAAGGAATTCTGTACACAACCACTGTAGAGTTAAAGTATCTTAAACACAGAACTCCCTAATGCTGAAGACGTCACAGAGCAATAAGGGCAGCTTCTCCCTAAGGCCCTGAGCCCTCCAGGATCAGGTTGGAAGTCCATCCACAGGTCAGCGTCCTGATAACAGGATCCATGGCCAGACACAGCTGGAGACAGGCATACCTACAACATAGCTGAGGCAGGGACTGCAGGCCCAGGCCTGAGCTTAAATGGAGCTCCTGGGCAGAGTGGGTGGAGTGTGGGTGGAGGCCCCAGGTAAGGCTAATCAGGGCTGTTAAGGAGTATTAGTGCCCTCAGGGTCCCGACGGTAGCTGGTTGTTTTGAACATAGCAACACTCACTGCTAACAGCTCACTCAGTGCTGTAGTCAAGTAAGATTTTAGCCATAATCTGGTATTAATTTTACAGTGCCTTAACGTTGAAAATGTGTCCCATTTATATTGGTGTGTCTGTTCTCGTAGTCCTCAGAGATAAGTGGGTCTTCCACAATGTTTTTGTCTCTAATATGAGAACAAACTTAGGCTGATGTTATTGAACTCTAATATATGCATAAAATAGAGTCAATTAGTTTTTGAGAGCTACTATGTTTACTTTTACTTTAGTGCTGCTTGTACATAATTGACTGCTGTAACAGAAAGTGGCACATCAGGCTAAATGTACCTAAAGCAAAAATCAGGGAACAACTCTTCTGTAAAAGGGCATTGCTATTAAAATACTTCCATTTCATGTTTGATCTGTCCATATAAATTTAAATATTTGTCATCAGTGAAGGACTAGTATGCTTTTCTTTGGTAGTTTGTGAAGTATAAACAATAGAAAGTACGTGCAATCCTTAATAAAATGCAGTATTTATACTACTTATCTGAGTAGAGCAATATTACAGATGACAATTCTCTTCTGTACGGTTATGTTTTTAATCCAGCAATCCAATTTATTTCACTTGGGGCATGAATAATTTGAAAGTGGTTAAGAAACTGATGGTTTGTATATCATCAAGCAAAAATACCTGTTAGTTATTGTGTCTTCATGTTTTCTTTCTCACATGCAGCTGATTCTGATTGTAACTTGAACAGTGAATTTTTATTTGCCTGTGTACTCAATATAAGCAGCCTGACAATGTTTAGAATCATAGTTGTGAAATGATACTGTCATTCATTGACAGTGAAGGATGATGTTCATACTTTTTTTAATCCTTAAGATGATCAACTACTTGAAAAAAGGCAAACAGTTTCCAAGAACATTAAGACAAGTAGTGATTTAATTCAGTGAATTTAAACACAGAGTAAATTTGGCCCAAAGGTCTTTTATAGGTTTCACATCAGTCCTTCCTGTGGTCAATTCTGCACAGAATTTCTAGAAGGGCAATGATATTGTACCTCTTTATCGGTTTCTGTCACCCATTCTTACTGTTTTGTCCTTCATCTTGCCATGAGTTGCCAGATGTGAAAATTAAATGTATAGCTAATTAGCCTTCTACTACCTTGG